TGAGAGGGGTTTGATCCACACTCTGAACGAATTACACATGTCATCAGCCTAGAATAACTTTTGTCTGCCCCTTTGTGATGGAATTCATCTCGAAGAAATATTGCACATGTACCCAATTAAGGTAAACAGGCTACTTCCTGGGAATTCCCACATATCCCTATAAATAAACATGAAGGCTTTTCCGTCCTAAAATCTTTTAAACCCCAGAAAAGCCTCTGTCTGAAGAGACAGGAGTTAGCATTGATTAGAGCCCTCCTTGTCTCCTCTGACCAGATCTTTTCCTCTTAAAAAAAATCTTTACATCTTTTGCTCGTGTGAAATTCTGTCTAACCTGATCATTCTTTTTCTTTTTTTCTGTAAACTTTTTACTGTGAACTGACTGGAGGTTTAGAGATCATCAGTTTTACCATCAACAATCACACACTTTGTCTCATCTTGGTGATTGTAATCCCCTCCACGTAACAACAGTTATTCAGCTTCCTCCCTATGGTTCCTATTTCTAGTCTACCCTCCTTCCGATCCTTTCTCAACTTTGTCTTTAGGAAAATGGTGTCCTTTTGATCTTGAATGATTGACCATTCCATGGTGAGCAGATCTTACTAGTATTGTTGTCCTTCCTATAGACCTGTCTATATTTGGCTGAAAATTGAGCCATGAATGTGAGTTCTGCCTCAGACCTGAAGAGTGTAGTCTCAGGTTCATCCAGTCTCTTTCTGACAAGTTATCTATCTATCTATCATCGATCTATCTATCTATCTATCTATCTATCGATCTATCGATCTATCGATCTATCGATCTATCTATCATCGATCTATCTATCTATCTATCTATCTATCTATCTATCTATCGATCTATCGATCTATCGATCTATCGATCTATCGATCTATCATCTATCTATCTATCTTTCTGACAAGTTTATCTATCTATCTATCTTTCTGACAAGTTATCTATCTATCTATGTACATTTTATAATTTTGAGTATTGTTCCACATTTTCTGTCACTCCATCTGGGACCTTCTAATGTCATCCCTTTCAGAGCAGTTGGTAGTGGTAGCTGGGCACCATCTAGTTCTTCTGGTCTCAGGGTCCCGGAGACAGATGTCCACATGTTCTATTGGACTAGCTGATTCTAAGCATCTTCAAATTTTCATCACTCTTCTTCCTTCCATACATGGAGAAACAAACAGTTGCACCTTAGATAGTTGCTCATGAGCTTTTAAGACGCCAGTCACTACTTAGCAAAGTAGGATGTAGAACATATTCTTTGTGGACTGTGTTAAGCCAATTGACCATGGTGTCCCCTGAGACTACAGTTCTAAGCCCCCAGGCCCAGCAGCTCATTGCCATAAGATGTTGGATAATATCTACAATATTCTCATCATTTTGCCCCTCTCTACTCCACCACATTCACAGTTGAGCTTGCAGCAAAGGGAAATACCCATGTATATATATTCCTTTTCAAACCCTTCCATATTTGTGGGTATACTCCCACTTTCCCTCCCATACATGTTCAGCCTGTGGATTTGTCCATGTAACATTGATCATCTTTATAGTTCTAGGTTTTACATTAGGTTTTAAATCCATGTTGAGCTTGTTTTTGTATATGGTGTGAGATATGGGCCTTGTTACATTTCTGTAAATGGTTTTCCAGTTTTGTCAGTACCATTTGCTGAGGAGACTATGTGTCTCTTTCCCATTTAGTGTGTCCTGCCCTCTTTTCAAAGATCAGCAGAGTGTATGTGTTTCGCTGATTGATGTATGTATCATTGTACCAGTACCGGGTTGTTTTAACCACTGTGACTGTGTGGCAGATTTTGAGATCAGGGAGTGAGAGGCCTCCAACTTTGTTTTTATTCTTAAGTAATGCCTTGCTTATCCGAGGTCTCTTTCATTTTGATATAAACTCAGTGATCAGTTTTTCCATCTCTTTAAAGAATGCTGTTGGAATCTGGATTGGGGTAGTGTTATATCTCTAGATGGGGTGTGTAGGGTGCACTTGTAGCTGGGCTGGCTGAGCATGGTTGCTGTCCCTTGTCAGGTGAGGTAAGAAGAGAAAACACACACAAGAGAGAGAAGAAAGACAAACACACAGGTAAAAACCAACACACACACACACACAAATAGTAAAGAGAAAAATCAGGCAACAGCTGGAAAAAACAAAACAAAACAACAAAAAACAAACAAAAAAAACCCAACCAAAACCAAAACCTAAAAGAGAAAAGAGGGAAAGGAAAAATAATTTTAAAATCACGGAAGAAGAAAATAAGAGAAAAATAAAAAGAAAGGAAAAAACTAAACATAATTAGGGAGACAGATGAATAACATGGAAAGAGATCAGAGAGTAGTCAAAAAGAGAAAGGAAGGAAATTAGGGAAAGAAATAGTAGTGGTTGGGGAAAAGAAGAAGAAAAAACAAAGTGGAGATAAAATGGATAAAACCAACGATAGGTAAAGAGAGAAAGAAATGGAGGAAAGAATAAACAAACAAAAACAATGAAAGGAAAAAACCCCACAAAAAGCCAGAGCCGGTAACTGACCCAGAGAGGAAAAAATTCTGAGGTCTACTACCAGCCAAGGACCTCACATGGTGTGTAGGCAAAAGACAAGACAGTGGACTTCTGGCCTTAGATGGAGTTCCTGTAGGGTTGGGTGTTTTCTGTCTGGGCACTTAAATGGGAAGTAGTTCATGCAGACCCCCAAATAGCCGGGGGTGGGGTGGTTAGGGTATTTCCATTCCATAGGGTAGTCACGGGTGAGAGTTCCCACTAGTCCAGGGCTGGCCAGAACCAGCTCTGCAGGTTTGGATCAGGTCACACCTGAGTCCAGGCTCTAGGATTTGTGCTGCTTGCTCCTGACTCCCTTTGATGTGGCTTTGACCACCTGGATAGCAGGGGCTTAGCTGTGGGTGCATGTGTGTGGGGGCTGGACACAACTCCATCGCCGGAATAATGTGGGGTACAAGGAAAAATTTTGCACCTTTCTCTACCAATCAGTAGATTGTGCCACTGATCACCCATTGCCTTTGAAGCTGTCTGGGAAAATTCAAGACGGCTTTGCCACACCTGGCCAGGTGGCACAGATCCCCTGCCTCCTCCACCTTGCCACCCCATTTGTCTGTTCAGCTGCTTCTCCTAGTAAGGCTAATCCAGGGGTAACCAGGACTGCCTCTGCAGGTCTGGAGCAGGGCTTGCTCATTGAATTCAGGCACTGGGGTTGGTGCAGATAACTCCCCACTCACTTTGATGAGACTCACAACTGCTCCGCTCCCCTCCGTGCAGCTCAAACCACCATGAGAACAGGAGTTTAGTGACTTTGTTGTGTGAAGTAACCAGCATTCCTTTAACTCACTGCTGCTCCAACTGCTACGCTCACCTTGTGCCGCTCAAACCACCAGGAGAACAGGAGTTTCGTTGCAAGTGACTTTGTTGTGTGAAATAACCAGCATTCCTGTAACTCATTGCTACCAAGGCAATTCTTACTCCTAAGGACACTGCAACGTTTCCAAGGCTGTTGATCTGTATGGAAGTGCATTGCCATACCTTTCTCCCTTGGTATGACTGGTGGGTTTGAACTGCCAACCATTTGGTTAGCATTTGGCTGCTTTCAAAATGCTTTATGTTCTTCCAATCTTGCCCAGGTGTGAAAGGCTATTTGCTAAATTATTTTTTAATCTGGGAGGAGAGAATGCTCATCTATTGCATGCCTCCCATGGACTAGACTGAGCGCTTGGTGCTTTTTGTATGCAATCTTTTAAATTGCCACACTAATCCTATACAACTTCTTATTGTCTGGAAGTAATTTTACAAGATTCAGTAACTTCCTCTGTCACAGAAGAAGTCAGTGGCAAAGCCAGGGCTGGGATCCATTTCTGTCTCCAAAGCTTATCTGTTTTTTATCATGTAGGAGTTCCTGGGTGGTGCAAATAGTTAGTGGGCTTGGCTGCTAACAGAAAGGTTGAAGGTTCGAGTCCACTCAATGGCACTTCACGAGAAAGGCCTGCTAATCTACTTCTGAAAATCCTATGGAGTACAGTTCTTTTCTGAGGTCACCAGGAGTGGGAGGTGACTTATTAGGCTTATTATGTTGCACCCTAGGTGGGAGTGTTAGCTGGTTTTGAGCAATTATAGGTATTCTTGAGAAGGGTTCACTGATAATGTCAGTCTCTGACACAAGTCTGAACACTCCTGGAAGGTACAGGTTTTTTTTCTTCCCCATACTGTAAATGTCTAATACAATATCTGGCATGCAGTCAATTCTCAATAAGTATTTGTTGAATTGAAAGTTCACTGCTCTCATAGACTTGGCCTATTGTTGATGTTTCAGGTCGATTCCCACTGTACATTTGAAAGGCATGGCTGACCTTTGAAATTTTGCTGGGGTCTCACTTCTGATTTCTGTTTTATGATATACAATGATCACAAGTGAAAAAGTAGCTTTGCATTCAGACAGGAGGAGATACTAAGCAATCAGTAGGATTCTAAATCCAAATCTTAGTAAAGTGAACGTGGGGAGACTATGTATGGCACTGTGGGTTAATGCGCTGGACTGCAAGGTCCGTTTAAATGCAAAGTTGGTGGTTCAAGCTCACCAGTCGTTTCTTGGAAACCCTATACAGGGTTGCTATGGGTCAGAACGGATTCGACGGCACTTAACAACAATATAAAGATACAAAGGTGCTTCTGGGAAACATGAGTTGTGCTTTCTTTCTCTCCTCAACTTCCAGAAAGATGTAGGATATTCCACTGTTCTGGATGTATATCCTATTCCAATCCTGAAGTGAAAGGCCATCTTTTTTTTTTCTTTTCTTTTTACAAATAATTCTTGAAATCAGTTTGCTGTGTGTTCACAATCTGAAACGTCATCATATAAGTTTGACAAATGTGAGTCAGAATAATATCAGGACTTAGGAGAAATGTGAAATCTAAGGGAGACCCTGCCTGCTTCCAGAAGCTGGGACTGATTGGTACGTGATGTCTTCATGAACACGGCCTATTTCTGCAGCTTCCGTAGCACAAGATAACTGCATCACTGGGACCAGATTTGCATCTCTGCTTGTTCTCAGAAAGTTTCCTCTCCTGAGCAATGGGTCCCTTGTATTGACGTTGACTGGTCGACTGACAACCACCTACAGAGTGAGAATCAATATATTTTCATTTTGTGATATTTTAAAGAAATTATCTTTATTTTTTAATTGTTCAGCTAGACATGCCAGTGAATATTTAGGCCACATTTTGAGCAAAACTCACAAGGTCGTTTTTTCAAACTTCACATGTGTACAGAAAACAACACAACTTTAAGGGTTTGTGTAAAAGAACAAAGCATAAGAAATACAGTGAAATACAAGCTCCTAACCAGATCTGATTCCATAGGAGAACAGATACTAAAACAAGGCTGTGTTTTGTAGGAAGCACTATCTAAAGATAAGATCACAGGATGCTCTCCAAGTCCCTTGGTGGCAAGACTTAAGCAGGTAGAAACAGCGCTGGTGTGGGCTTAGCCTAGCAGGGAGTAATGACTAGGTCAAGGTTTCATAAATAAGGTTTTGACTATTTACTGCTGCTGTTAAAAGGAAAAGTTAGCTTTGCCTATCAGGCCTGGCAGTGATAATATATTCTCTCTCTCTTAATTTGATCCTAGTTTTACCTTTAACTTACAAAAAGTAGCCCTTTGATTCTTTTCTTCTCTAGCAATAAAAGAGTTAAACTTTTAAGTCAACTATTAATGGTCCATGGACTAGAACAAAAATTGAAAAGATAAAATCCAATAACTCTATTTTAACTAGTAATTGGACTCCCTCTGTCTAAATATTGCAAGATAGCCACTCATGGGCAAAAATGTTTTCACAGACTTCTTCTCCTTTTGCCAAATGAGGGACTCGAAAAGTCTCCAGATGATTGGATGAAGGAGGAGACAGGGGCATTAATTCATGCCTTGTTTCTCATTTTGCTTCAGATAGTTATTGTACTAGTAGCTACTTCATAGGTTTAACCATAGGATATTTATAATTTTCTCTGTGAGCCCTTCCTCAAAACCTAACTGTAAAGTAAACACTTTTGCCCCATCAACTTGGAACTACTAAGAATCTGCAATATACTTTGTTTAAAAGATAACGTAATTACAATGATAACACGGTCCATTTCCAAAACTCCATTGTGTTTATTCCTATCTCTACTTTCTCATTCCTAGTGCGTCCTTTCCTTGATTTGATCGTGGACATTAAAAACAGACAACTCAAAATCCCTCTCTGCATCATCAAACCACAGAAAGAGAGGCTTGGAAGCAGGAATACATAAAACATATTTTCTTCTGGGGTCTCATCAAGCTGAGAGCTTCAGAATATTTGAATGATATCAAAATATGTGTCAGTTTATAGTTATGACAGAAAAAAACAAAGTGTCGAGTTTTCACAACTTCTCTTTTTATCCATATCAATCATTTCCACTTCTCAGTCACCCATTTCATAAGGTTTTCACAACTTTCTTTAGCACCATCTGGCAATCTCTCCTACTGTAATGAAAATACAACCAACTCTCCAGAATTTCCCCTAAGCCTCAACTCTTCTAACCTCAGTCTCTCTACAGGAACTTATTACAATCCAGTCAAGTTTCTAACATTTCATTTGTATGTGAGGAGGAAAAATAAAACCCAAAAGCAAAACAGTTGCACTCATGGAAATAAGATGTAGGTATCATTCTTAGCATGCTTGAGAAATAGTTTGATAGTGGCAGAAATAGTCCTCCCACCACCACATTGTTTGAAGGAAAACAAAAGCGACATTACTAATTTCACCAAATGTTAATCATGTCAAGAACTTCTAAAGAAACTATTCAATGCAGAGCTTAGGAGACTAGCGAAGAATGCTGTAACAAATTGATTTTATGACCAAGCAACTGGAAAAAAAAATGGCAAGAAAATTCCAGGTTTACTATTCTAGCTAGATCCATGATTAACCACAACGACCTGTCAGGAAGGTAAATTCTTCCAGCAAACCAAAATATTTTCTTTACTTAAATAATGTTAACTTCAGCTAGCGGTTGGGTAGCTGTTCACATGACATCAAGGAAAAAAGAAAAAAAAAAAAAATCCAGTTAGTATTAACACTAAAGAAATGAATGCTAATCGGAAACCAAAGGTACTTTGGTACTGCAGCCATAACAGACACATGTGCGGTATGGGAGCAGGAATTCCCTGATGATGGTTATGATGGGGTCATAGAAGATTTGAGACCTGCTCTGTTTCCTGTGAGGCTGACAAACGGCCATGTTCCATGACTAGAGTCCCATAAGCACAAGCTTATCAGCTGTCTTATTAAAACAGAGTGTGCAACATCGCTGTGTTGAAAAGTGACTTCAGGCTTGCTGAAGGGTCTCATTCATCTGAGGAAACGATGCTTGGTGCCATAGATTCAACACTATGGTCTCAAGCGGAATGCGTGTGAAGTTTTCCAAAATATTTCCTCAAAGACCGTTAGTAATTTTGGTTTGTGACCTTAGCTGGAAAAGCATAAAGATTGACGTGGGAAGGCAGTTCAAAAAACATCTATGAGGATTTAAGTTGGGCAGCTTTCAGAAGATGAAAGGATGTTTAAAGTTAAGGCCTTTATCTGCAAACAATAGTATATTAATAAACTCTATATACCTTATTTACAAATGCATTCTCTTGTATTAAAACTAACAGTATTTTGTTCACAGTGCCATTGTTTATACAGGTAGCAATCCCATAATACTCATGTATCTTGGCATGGGAATCAGTAGCGCTTGGTATTTACAGAAAATGTACACGTGTGACTATAAACATGCCACTGAATCTGCATTAGCGATCAAACACAGATCAGCTACTGGTGCGAATGGATGGACTCTGCAGCACCTTCCCCTCCGCGGGACAGGAAACGTGGATTCGGAAATTGCAAAGATGCCAAATCTCTGACCCAAAGTGACGTCAAGTCAGTAACAAAACCAGGATCCCCTTGTTCCATTTGGGTACATTGGGTGATCTTAGTCCAGAGTTTTAGATCCATTGTCTAGTGCATAAAATAGAAAACGTTAAAAAGATTTATTATTATTTTTATAATAATAATTATTATTAAAATATAAGGTACTTTCTCTCTCATGGTCTCATTTATACTCTTGCACTTCAGATCGGTATCCTCGGAGTTCCAAATATGCTGGTGTTTTGTCATGTAGCTCAGCAGTCAGATGACACACGGGAAATGCTCTGGACTTTGTATGAAGTGCTGCCTGTCGCCCGTGTGGCCCAGGGTCCCTGGGGGACGTGCCAGAAGCACCTCATCCTGACTTCTCAGTCTTCTCCTTGGGTTGGCAGCCTGCCCCTGGAATCAGCCCCCTGTGCTACTGAATGGAGTTTCTCGTTTCGGCAGCAGATGCTGAGGTGACAAATGTCTTCTGTACATTTGGAAATAGGAGGGGAGGTCGGTAAATAGGAGGAGGGTGGCAATCAGAGAGTGGCTGGGTTCTTGGTGAGGACCCCTCGGAGCTTCACCACCCTCTCGGAGACCTCTGCTCTGCGTGGTTCTCAGAGCCCAGCGCTGGGCCTACTGGGCGTCGGCCTCGGGGCCGGGGGGCGCCTCTGTCTCAGCGTCCGCACCTGCGCGTTCTGTGCCCCCTCCGCTGCCGCCACTGCTCCTGGGCAGCTTGTGCATCAGGCTCTTCCACTGGGCTTTGTTGTGTGCGAGATGGCTTAGCATGTTTTCAGCCAAGGGACTGTTTCCGGTGAAACGGGCCCATTCGCGGAAGAGTGGCTCCACGATATAGCTCATGAAACCTGGGAGAGGAAGCAAGATGAAACGCATTACCATCAGGACGGAAGCAACTACTGCTTTCCTCACACACCTTTGTCTGCTTGACCTGGGATGTAAAGGCCACCAAGTTGCAGTCACGAGTCACAGCGTAGCAGAATAAGATATGTCCCTTTGGGCTTGCAATTACACCTCTATTTGTCTCAGTTTCCTCATTTGTTATGCAAAAGTTGCGAGTACCAAACCTAAGAGATGATTAACTCTCAGCCATTAACTCAAAGGTTAACAGTTCAAATCTACTCAGAAGCTGTTTCTCGGAAGAAAGATCTAGCCATCTGCTCCTGGTAAAGATGAAATCAAACCAGAAGCTGTGTTTGTGTATGGGTGGCTTCTGACTCATAACAACTCTATAGGACAGAGTAGGGTCCCCAAGGCTTTAAGGAGCTCTGGTAGCGTAGTGGTTACGAATCAGGCTGCTAATCTCATGGTCAGCAGTTCGAAAGTACCAGCTGTTCCGCGGATGAAAGATGAGGCTTTCTGCTCCCGTATAGGAAACCCTGTGCAGGGTCGCTATGGGTCGAAACCAACTCCATGGCACATAACAATAATCTTTAAATAGAATGCCTTTTCCCCAGAAATGCCTGGTGGGTTTTGAACTGCCGACTCTTAGCTTGGTTAGCAGCCAAGCACTTAGCCACCATGCCACCAGGGATTCTTTGGTGTGAAAATTACAGTCTTTGTGCAGCAACAACCAATCCCTTGCTGTTGTCAGGACAATGACATGATGTAACTGAACCTAGTAAACAATAAATACTGGCTATTATATAAATAAATATTGGCTATTATAAATATTACTATTTATATACTATAAACTATACTATTACTTTTGCAAGAAAGATGAGGCTTTCTGCTCCTGTAAAGATTTATAGCCTTGTAAACCCCCCTTATAGGTGGCACTGTAGGATAATGTGCTGAGCCACAAAGTCAGATTGAGCCATAAGGTCGGTGGTTCAAACCCACTAGCCACTCCTTAGAAAACCTATACAGGGTCGCTGTGAGTCGGAACCAACTCAACGGCACTTAACAACAACAACAAAACCCTTGCAGGGTTAGAACTGACTCAACAACACTTAACAACATTATTATCTGTAGAGGGAGAAAGACTGTAACAAAAAAGTAAAAAAAAAAAGCCCGCATTGGCACTAAGGGGGATGGGGTGAAGGGAGAACAGGGGGCAATGAGTTCAGTAAGGGATCTCCTACAGAAGACTTTTTCAGGAATATGGCTTTATAGTTTTGTCTTACTTTTAATTATATTAACTAACTTGAATATTCATTTCAGTACAGATTTTTACCTGCATAAAGCCCTACTATGAAGGAGTCTTGGTGCCACAGTGCTTAAAGTACTCAGGTGTGAACCTAAAGGTAGGTGGTGTGAACTCACGGCAGCTTCATGGGAGAAAGCTGTAGCAAACTGCTTCCATAAAGATTTACAGTTTTGGAAGGCCTATGTTGTTGTTAAGTACTATCAAGCTGATTCCGACTCAAGTGTCCCTTGGAAGCCTATGGAGCATAGCTATTCTGTCCTAAGGGCCCCTATGAGTCTGAGTCGACTCTACAGCAATAGCTTAGATTTTGTTTTTTGGAAAATCCTGCAAAGATTGCTTGAAATTAGACTTCTGTATCTGCATATCTGTTCTTTCACTTATTTTAGACTCGTTGAGTTCTAATCATGTTTCGCTGTTAATGTGCTTTCCACATTAACAGCAAATTAGGTGTTAGGTGAAGATAATGTTCAGCCAAGGCCTGAATTATTGGAATCATCATGAATTTGTTTGCATGTAGGGTTGATTGTAGGTGGGGTAGAAATAGTAACTGTTTTCAGCCTAACAGTATCTGCCAACAACTGATCCAGTATGTTTATGGGAAAGCAAATGATTAAGCTTGATTTGATCACCTTTGTATTGAATAAACAACAAAATAGACAGTCACTCTTTGAGGACAATATAGAAATGGGAAAAGGATGCAGCATGTAAAATGTGATTTACATTTCTGCAGTATCTCATCTTATATGAAATATGACTTACAATTGTGAGATCATTCAAACCTGACGAGGAACACTAGGCCGATGCCTTTATGTCTGTATTTGTCACTTTAATAAGGTTATGCAGAAAGTCAACAAGCAAGAATTTCACATATTTTTAGTCTTGAATTTTTTTCACCTCCTTCACAATCTCCATATCTAATTTCTAATATCTTTCACCTTTGAATACAAAGACAGTTTGAAATACTAAATTATTTTAAAATTAGGCTAACGATTATAGTTTGAATTGGAAACGCTTATCAAGTTTACCTTGAGTTTAAAAAGTTACAAATTCTAGCATTTTAAAATCCAGCATCTACAAAAAGCAACTCATTCTATTCCTGAATTTACCTTGGATCTACATCTGTATTAATACTTGACTGAGAACCTGAGAGCAGTTCCATTCACAGGTATCGCCAAAGATTGGTCTGGTGAGTTACTTCTGAAAAACTAGCCATTCAAAACCCGTGCACCATGAGTTGGAATTGGCATGATGGCAACTTGTTTGTTTATACTTGTCAGCTATAAAGACTTCTTGTCCTGATATGGTGCTGCAGGATAATGTGCTGGACAGCATGGTCAGTTTGAACCACAAGGTCAGTGTTTCAAACCCACCAGCCGGTCCTCAGAAACCCTATGGCACTTAATAAAAACAGTCTTACTGGGAAAGCCATTTTAAAATCCGAACAGAAACCATGAGGCAGGTTTCCAAATAAGGGAAGGCTTCTGCAGTATCTGATTTGGGAATCTATTGGTTCTCAGTTGGTTGTGCCAACCCTCATTGCTCCTCTAGCATGAGCTGACTTTGCCCTGGTATTGTCCAGGAGGGGTGAGGGTAGGGGAAGGGAAGCATGGCAGTCTCAGGGTAGACAGGGATTGAAGGGAAGCTTCATTCCCCTCCTCTTTCTGTTGATCTCATCAACTAGAGATTCAGTCAACATCATACCTTCTTTTTTAAAATGTAGAATTTGATGGAGAGAGGGGAGTAGGGAAGGGGACATGAAGTCAGGTTTCCATTGGGTAAGTGTGAATTACCTACACAGAAAATCAGAGTTAAGTCCAACTGAGGCCAACACTAAGGACACCCTCATTTTGGTTAGGGAGAGAAAACAGAGAGGAGACATTTTTCATTTATAGGGTAATCAGGACAGAGGAACTAACTGCAATATTTTAGGACCCAATAGAAAAATCGTGCCTGGAGGACTGGAGCCTAGGACTCCCGTTCAACTCCATTTATCTACTTAGGTTTTTCCAGCTTTCCCTGTACACCACACTGCCCAACCCTGAACCTAGAGAGCAAAGATGTGGAACAGAGACATAGAGATTCCTGCACACGTATTTAGGAGTTGTTTTACAATCATCTTCTCTTTCTCTTTATTATTGCGGTGCTGGTCTGTCTGCATCCATAGGGTTTCTCTTTCTTTACTCCACCCCCTAGCTCATTTAAAAAGCAGGTATCTATGGTAACCACAGTTTCTGGAGTTGTAAAGCAGGGCATACGATCTGACAAAATAAGTGTGTTCTCATGACAACAACAGGGCAGCATCTCTGAAATCAGGTCTGTCTTGTAAATTCAGGTTGTGCACTTAACAAGATGAGATTTTGTATGGGGTTCAAAAGGTCTTTAACAATTGCCTGGCAAATTTCTTTTAATTAGAGCCCAACAAAGTGTATAGGACTGCCGTCAAGGTCTGTTCCTATCAAATCCTAGCTGCAAAACCATCCCAGCTGAGAGGAGAGAAGAGGATTCTGGGAGCTGAGGCTAGGTTTCTCTTGCTATATCCTCTTCCATTCCTCACCAGCAATCCTGCAGCGTCATCTGCCCTGGGTTCTATCTTTTTTTCAAGTTATTTATTGATTTTATTTGTCATGGTTGAGAATATACACAGTAAAACATACATCAAGACATTTCTAAATGTACATTTCAGTGAGATTGATTACATTATTCAAGTTGTGCGGCCATTCCCACTCTCCTTTTCTGAGTTGTTACTCCACTATTAACAAACTCACTGCCCCCTAAATTTCATGTATCATATTTTGAATTGCTGAGGTCAATATACCTAATTTAGATAGATCCTAAAAGAGCATAGTGCTCAAGGCAGACACTGTTTGTGAATTAAGCTAAACAGCTGTTTGGTTTTAAGAAGACTTCAGGGACTACTTTTGGTTTAAGGTTTAAAGATGATCTCAGGGCAATAGTTTTGGGGACTCATCCAGCCTCCATGGCTTCAGAAAGACTGGATTCCATGGGAATTGACTTGGGTCTTGTTTTTTTATTAGCCCCCTTCCTTTTTTGGTGGAGGAAATTATAAAAACAACATAAAATATTAAAAGTAATTTAGAAGAAAATGATCTCGTAGTAATTTCATCAGTAATTTCAACATAACTATTTTCATTCAAATCTTTGGAGCCAGAGATAAATTCTGTCGATAGTTCCTAAGGATAAATTATGAATTTTTTCCAGGGATTGTGGATTTGACTTGACTTTCAGCGTTGGTAAACATATCATTTTAACTTGCTCTGGTTTTCTTACTTTTCAATTGATTTTTTAGGAGGTTCCCTCCTCCCATTGTTAAGGTATTAAAATTTGGGTTTTACAGAGTTGTGCAACACTGGGAATGCATTTAACGGAGGTCTGTAGGAACAGGAAATACATGAACTGACACATGTAAGTGCCATTGAGCTGGTTCTGACCCATAGCGACCCCATATAGAGTTTCCAAAGAATGGCTGGTAAGTTTGAACCACCAACCTTGCAGTTCAAATCAACCTTGCAGTCCAGTGTTTATACTATAGTGCCACTCCAGAACTCTACCTAGCACTTGTTGTTGTTGTTGTGAAATGCTGTCGAGTTGGTTCTGACTAATAGCGACCCTGTATAGTGTTTCTGAGGAGCAACTGGTGGGTTTGAACTGCAGAACTTATGGTTAGCAATCCAGTGCTGATCCTCCAGTGCTACACCAGGACCCCGTCAGTGCCACAGCTTATAAAATAAAGAATGCTTTAAAAATTCTGAGCTTGGTTTCAGTTGAAGAAAACTTCAAGGAACAGAAAGACTTTCCTTAAATGTAGATAGAATTTGTGAAGCATTGGAAGGACTATTGAGATTCTTATCTAATTGGAAATATTTCTGCCACTAAAATGCCTAAAATATCTACTGTTTGATTTTCTTGAGGATTTTATGTATAACTCATGTAGATAAAGAAATAATTATTTTGGATGTATCAAGATCACACTTTTAACACTTTATCACAATTGATACTTGAGACTGAAAATAAGTTTTTGAAGTGGAGAGTAGGGAAGCATGGGAACTCAAGACACAATGGCTGAACTGGGCTTCAAAGACTTTGGCTGAGGGTACTGGGCCCTTGGGAGTGAAGACGGGAGTTAGAAATGCCTAGTGATCCAAACTGGAAGACCCCTAAAGGCAGACTCTGCTGACTTCCCAGAGTGCTAGCCTCCATGTTCTTAAGGAGCAAATGTTGTTGTTGTTGTTGTTATGTGCCATGGAGTTGGTTCTGATTCATAGCGACCCTGTACAGGGTTTTTGAGGCTGTAAATCTTTCTGGGAATAGAAAGCCTTATCTTTCTCCCGCGGAACAGCTGGTAGTTTCAAACTGCTGACCTTGCGGTTCACAGCCCGACTCGTTACCACTACTCTAAGGAGCAAATAGTTGATACTTATTACTATTTTTCTACTTTATCTGGTTGGATAAACAGGATAAAATTGTATAACAAAACCTGTACTTTAAATTTCACAATTTTAAATCGATACTTACCTAGTAGATTAGTCATGACTAGATTGTTTATTTGTACTCTGCCATTCAAAGGAACACTGATTAGACCTCCAATTTGGCTCATCCAAAAACAGTGTGGGGATCTCTTTTTGGGGGGATCTCTTTTTGTGACTCTTGGCCAACTGGCCAAAACCATTTGATTAACATTTAATTCAACTCACCAATTTGTATACTAGGGATTGAGTCTTTCTGTTGATTACAAAGAGGACTGATTTCCAGTTCAAATTTCTGCTCAAGGTCCCCTAAAAAGAAGGAAGAAGCAACATATTAATAATCTAGAATTTATATAAGTGTTGGAAGAAGTTATTCTAGAAATTTCTGTTTCTTGCTTTGAGAGCATTAGGAACCCTTTAGCACCATTGTGCTCTGCTTTGCTCTGAAACCTGTGAAATTTTAAGATATCGGAGAGTTAATGATCATTTACAATAAATGTGTTGTAATTAGGTGTGCTCTAAGATTAATGGTTGAACAAAAGTATAAAAACAAGATCGGAACTAATGGGCAATTTCCAAACAAGATGGAAGTTCTGGCTTTAAGCAACAGGTTAAGAATATAGACTTTATACTAAGTATTCAATTTTCACCTGAAAATAACCAAGCTAATGCAGAGAGGGCTTCCATATAACCAAGACAGTAAGCAGGGTTTCCAAGGAGCGGCTGGTGACTTTGAACCACCGACCTTGTGGTTCAAACCGACCTTACAGTCCTGCACATTGGCTCACAGCGCCAGATAATAATAATAATAGGTAGGAAATGGGAGAGAGGAATTAAAAAATCTTATTTGAACAACATTTCAGTCTGTAGCTATAAAATTAATTATAAATAATGATCAGTCCTAACTGAGGGTGAAAATTGTATTTTTTGAGTTGGAAAACAGTATGTTTACTCAGCAGAGAAGGAGGGCCTCAGAAACATGAGCTCAGTTTACATTTACAAATGTAATTTCCAAAACTAGAGTAGATAAAAATATAACACTTATATATGCTTACTTTGTGCTAGGTACTTTACATATGTTAATCAGTCTACTCTTCATGGCAGCCTGCTTTTAATCCTCATTTTCTAGATAAAGAAATTGAGGCATAGGGAGAGTAAATATGTCATCCAAGGTTACACTGTTAGAGAATCAAGTCTGGTCTAGATTCTACAGCTCTAGAGTGTCTGCGCTGAACCACTGTGCTACAATCTGACAGACTCCTTGTTTCTGTCACTTCCTCTAAGACTAGCCATGATCTTGCGTGCCCTGGTGCCCTGGTGATTCTTAAGACTAATGTGAGGAAATCATTTTAGCGTAAGCCTGAGGAGTTTCAGGAAGTCTCCTCATACTTTGCCACCTTGGAAGGTGACAGCCTTCTGAGGGCCAGGTATGATACCATTTAATACAAAAATGAATTCTCCCATGATCAGTTGCTCTCCTCACCTCTGTTTCTGTTAAGAGTACTATTGATTTTTCAGTCAAGCCTGACACTTTGGTTCTTTTTGATTTCTCCCTCCATATTGAGGCATCAAATTTTGTTTGTTCCTCTCTTGGGAATACTCTGCCTGACCCCTTGTCTGGTTTCTTAATAATTTGTTCTTCGTTTTTGCTGCGTATCCAGTCTTTCTTTCACTTCAGCTGTATGAGTGAAAGGGTTTTACAAAAGTTTGTGGAAAAATTCCATTATCATTTAATTCCATTTTCCCATGAACTCTTTGACACTCCCTCGAATATATGATCCTAAATTCATTTTCTGTGATGACTCCCATTGTCATGTTTGCTGATTTAGCCGGGCATACAGGGGCCTCCACAAACGCATCCTCTCATTCTAACGTTCTATGGGACCATTCTGGTCTAACAGGCGAGGGTATGTCCTCACCTCAGTGCATGTGCCCGCTTCCATTTTTCTCTGTATAAACCAGTGCTACCCAATAAAACTTTCTGCAATAATGGAAGCATTCTCTGCACTGTGCAATATGGTGGTGGTGGTGGTGGTGGTGTGCTGAAGAGTAAGTTCCGACTCGACCCTGTATAGGTTTCAGGGGTCTTGGAGTGGTGCTGCAGGTTAATGTGCTGGACTGCAAAGTTGGTTTGAACTGCAAGGTTGGCAGTTTAAACTCACCAGCCTTTCATCGGAAACTCTATACAGGGTCACTGTGAGTCCGAACTGACTCGATGGCACTTAACAATAACAGCATAGGGTTTCCCAGGTTGTGAATTTTTATGGGAACAGAAAAGTTTCATCTTTCTCCTTTGGAGCAGCTAGTGGCTTTGAACTGCTGATCTTGTTGTTAGCAGTCCAACTTGCAATCAACTATGCTTCCAGGGCTCCTTGTTCTATAAGGTTGTTGTTGTTGTTAGGTGCCATTGAGTCAGTACCGACTCATAGCGACCTTATGTACAGTAGAACGAAACACTGCCCGATCCTGGGCCAACCTCACTATTGTCGCCACACTTGAGCCCATTGATACTGCCATTTTGTCAATCCATCTCACTGCAGGTCTTCCTCCTTTGCTCTGACCCTCCACCTTACCAAACATGATATTCTTCTCCGGCGACCGGTCCCTCCTGACAATATGTCCGAAGTATGAGAGACGAAGTTTGACCATCCTGGCCTCCAACGAGCACTCTGTCTGCACTTCTTCCAACACAGATCTGTTGGTTCTTTTGGCAGTCCATGGCACTTTCAATATTCTCCTCCAACACCATAACTTAAAAGCATCAATTCTTCTAAGATCTTCCTAATTCACTGTCCAGCTTTCACATGCATATGAGGTGCTTGAAAATACCATGGTTTGCGTCAGGCGCACCTTAGTCTTTAAGCTGACATCAACACTTTAAAAAGGTCTTGTAAATATAGTTCTTTGATATGACCTCCAAAAATTAGAAACTAAAATTTCAATTTTATTTAAGTTTAAAGAGCCATCTGTACTGTAATCTACCATATTGGAAAGTGCAGACCACTACCCACCATTCAATATCCAAGTTAGATCTTACCTTCCTCAGCCTCTAGGTCTTCTCCTGTGACCTATGTATGTTTGATACTTATTCCTATGACTCCTTATCATGTCTGCTTTACAGCTGCTTTGAATTATTGCTTTTCATAAACTAGTTAGTTTATTCATTCACTTATTCAATTATAAAGCACTTGTTATATTTCTGAAACTTTGCTAACTAACATAGAGAATGCAAAGATGACAACTGCATAGCTTCTCTCCTCTAGGACCTTTGCTGATTATTATTTTGAGGGTACAAAACATGAATAACTATACTTCTTTGACTCTTTCATAACACCCCAATAGGGCTTTGTATATAGTAGGAAAATCACATTTTTGCTGAAGATTAGCCATGGCTAGAAGTAGATGTTTAATAAAAACTTCTGGAAGACTCAGCTGATTGAGAAAACACAAACTTGAAGTGCATCAGAACAGAATTCTACTTCCTGAAGGGGTTGCCGAGGGTGTGCCATTGAAAATCCTAATCTCTCATCTGAGAATTGAACAGTTTTTCTAGTTTGTGGGATCTCGTTTTCTTTATCCCCTCTCTCCTTGACCTTGATTTTTGGAGTTTTCCTTTGCTCAACATCACGAACCATATTGGAGGTTCGCGGTCTGTGGAAACTTGCCTAAAACTCGGAGGCTGGAGTGAGCTGGGCTCTGAGCCCAAACGCTACACTGAAAGCCAGATGAAATTAATCAAAATGACAAGTCAACCTTATAGAATTAAAAAATAAAGAAATTCAGTATGGAGGGCAGGCAGTTTGAATGACCAGAGAATATTGTCAGACTTCTGCTACAGCATAAGTTGATTAATGTAAAAAGGACCTGATGTATGTTCCTTATTCTCCTTCTTCTGCCAGGAGACGTGCCAGAAAGCAAGGTGCATGAAATCTGATCTTCGGTGATCAGTTTACAAATGTTCTAGGTTTTTCCATTTTATAATACAGCACATGTATCATAATATTGTTAGGACAACAATCAGGTTTTGCAAAGAGCCTTATAGATCACCTCTTCTGACTGGCCCCATTTTCCTCTGCTTAGTTAAAAATTTTGATTCACCAACTCAAGGGATTTTCTACGTGCTCAAGTAACGTAGTCCCTGCCCCAAATTTCTTATAATCCAAATAAGGTGTAAAATGAGCCAATGAAAGAGTTAGATGCTCACAGTACAAACAGCATATGAATGAGTCAGAATAGAAAACAGAGCAAGGACTTTCAAGGGTGGAGATCCTAGCTCCTCTCTCTCGGTGCTAGCTTGACAGTTTATATACCGCACAGTAAAGGAAGTACTTGTCACGGTTAATCTAAAACTTTCTTGCTTCAGTTTCATCAGGTTATGTCTTGCCCTTAGTGGAGGTTGGATGTCACAGGCAACAAGAACAGATCCTTTGATCTGTAAACCCCTCACACTCAACTCAAGTGAAATTACAGAGTTACAGGAGCTACCTAAGCACTTTTACTCAGCACGAAAGAGGTGGTCAGAAGAGCCTTCTAGACCCACATGAACTCAATCAGTTCTTTGTTGTCTGTTTTTGGGGTCATCGTGATGCCATTGATACATCTTCCAATGGCGGCTTCTCTGAAAAGTTCACAGTTGCTACTTGACCTCCCCAAAGAGCTGGTATCAGGGGCAGTTGAAGCCTTATTTTTTCGTAGTCTCTCAAGCCTGGTCCTGTCACTAGCATCAGACTACTGCTATGCCTGAGCAAACATCCTGAACTCTCAAACCAGGCCTGAAGGAATAAGGCTGTGTACAAGATGGATATGCCACGAACATCAGGAGCCATCTTGCTAAGTCATTGCCTTATTTCTGACTGAATTTCATTTTTGAAAAATTATATTCCAATTTGGAGTCATTTGTCTTTTCATAGTAAAATTCTTCTACCTTACTTTTGAAACTGTTTGAGAGATGAGCTAAATTTTTGGTTGACTGTGCTCTGCTTCATATTAGCTTTCCCTAAGAAAGTGAGGGGAAAGGAGGAGTTTTCAGTCCTTCTGCCAAAGCAGGAAAAATTGACCCCAAATGGCATTTAATGTTTAGGTTCCACTCAGCTCATTAAAATGAAGGTTAGAGTAAAAACCAAGCTGTTCTACAAAGCAAAGCCATTAAAAAAAGAAGGAAAACAAAATGTACATATTCCTCCTTTAGTCATTTTTATGCCACCTCATTACTACTTGCTTCTGTAGTAAGTGGACATTATATATTTAAAATTGTTTTCCATAAAAGGGCAGGATAGTTTGTGAGAGAGTTAAAGAGAAAGGTTAGGATAATAAGAGTTGGTGAAAGAGCAAATGCCATGAAAGATTCACTGTTTCCTGTTTTATTAGGAAAAAAATACCTAAAGGGAGAAGGGGCACTGAAAACTCGGCTGCCGGATCTTTACAAACCTTGCCTGTAGAACTCTTCACACACTCTTTCACTCCATTGCTTGCTCATCTCCCAGATTCTACACGGATTGCAGATGTCAGCACACTTCAAGGCAATCTGAGAAATGGTAGGGCAGGGAGAGACAGTCAGAGGCTGATCCTTTCCTAGCAAATGCACCTCAAGTCAGAGAGGATGTAAACCTAGCCAGTGGGTGGGCACCCTCTGCCTCATGGTACCAGTTCAAACTAGTTGTTGTCGAGTTGACTCTGACTTGTGGCTACTCCATTTGTGTCAGAAGAGAACTGTGCTCCACAGGGGTTTCAATGGCTGAAATTTAGAAGTAGATCACTGGGCCTGTCTTCTGAGGAAACTCTGAGTGGACTGGAACCTCCAGACTTTTGGTTAGCAGTTGAACATGTAAACCCTTTGTACCACCAGGGACTGCTTCATCATGGTACCAAGCCATATTTACAGAGAATTTTTCTGACATGTCTCTTCAGGAAACAGCACTTACTTACTAATGCACAAAAAACCTTTATTCAGACCTCCCACTTTTAACAGTGAGAATGAGAGAAGAGACACAGTCCAAGGATACAGAACTTCCTGGAGGAGACTGGAGGTGGGCAGGCCAAGGAAAGCCAGGGCTTGGCTCATCTTGCTGCCCTACACCTCTCAGGCAGGGAGATCACAGGACCCAAGCCAGGATCCAGTGAGGACACTGGGCCTCCCTCATCACACTGACCGACTCCACACATCATTTACAGTATCTATATGTGCCTTTTTGTGGCTGTGTCAGTCTGGGAACTGACTCATAGAAAATGTAGGTGTGTTTTGTTTGCAGAGCTAAGTTTAAGGCCTTTTTGATTTGCCTTACACAGGTCTAGATCTGGAATATCAGATGTGGTCAGCGATGCTGCCTTGAACAGGGTTACCTTGAATTCCCAGAGAAGCAGATTCTTTCCCTTAACCACCAACTACCTGAGAGACCTGGATGAGCTCCCAGTAGTGTGTGCTGCCCACCAGCAATGGCGGTTTGTTTTGACCCAGTTTCTTGGGAGCTCAAATCCACTGGCAGTGATGGGGTCTGGGATATCCTTGCTGACACTGAGTTGCAAAATTGGTTGTTTACTTTCTGGTTAATGGAGGGACCAGTTTGTGTAGGAATCGGTAAAGGGCAGAAGTTTCCTCCAGATTCTGTCTGTTAGGGATTCATTTGAGTTAGCAAGTTTTCTTTCTGAAACGTAAGTGTTCAGACAGGTTCTTTTAGCCACTCAAGGCCTTGGCTTGAGTCTCTAAAATCAGACACCTGGCCAATATTTGTCACACTCAGGGACTAGATTAGTCTGGGAAGGAATAAGGAGGGAGGCGTAACTCTACAGCTGGGGTAGCATATTTCCTGGGAGAGATGGAGCACTTTAGCTTCCGAGAGCAGCTTGGGAAGTGGGGCCCAAAAGTTTACACAATTCAGTCTTCCCAGTGGAACTCCACATCCCTGATGAAAGTTGGCCTGTCTAGATGAGCCATTTAGAGCATCTTTTGCACCAAAAGGGAAACAATGGAAGAACGCTCTGGTTTGGATACCAGGTGAGACCTCCAATCCCAATGTTCACTTCTCTTTTTGTTCTTGTGTCAAGATGGTTTCGTTGCTTTCATACAATGAAATTAGATGAAAATGAAAATCGTTTATTTATTGCCTCCCAAACGATAAAATTAGGAAGATATGTTTGTGCCTCACATGGAAATGAGTTTAAGTAGTAAAGCCAGGTTTGGTTAAATAGGTTTGAGGTAAAGGAAGGCTATTTGTTTTTCAGTTTTGGAGGAAACTGTAGTTGATACAGTTAGACTTGTGTGTTACAGAAGTAGTCTTTCAAATTTCCCAGGTTATCATATTAGTCAATTCTTTACTAAGCCATGAAATGTGGTAGACACTTACTGCATGCAACAGGCTATGGGGTTACTTTGTGGTGGAGCAGTTCCCAAACAAAGAAATGTGTGATATTATCAAGTCACTGACATGAAACCCAGACTTCGCCTGCTGGAAAAACTACTTAAAAATTTAATGTGTCACAAAGCTTATAAGAAACTAGGTCACTGCTCTAACTTACATCATGGGAAATACTTCTTCTCAAATGTGCTAAAATGATCAATCATGTTTTTACCCGGCATGAATAATAGCTTTATTTGATTTTATTTTTACCTGAAGCATGAAGTGTCTGTCACGTGCATCATCCAATCTTAAATCTGTGTTGTGAAGGTGAGCTTTCAATCTGGTCAAAAATTCATTCTGTCTGTTGATGTCTGTTGCTAAGATCAAGGAGCCCAGCTGCTGTTCAATATCCTGTCTGCATCCACAAGAACGAAAGACAAAAGCACACAGAAGCAAATCCATTTGAGAGGGCGATTGATTGATTCGCTCACTATCAGACAGTTTGTAATCTCATTGCCACCTCTGATTCTGTGCATTACACAGTGTCCCAAACCTCTCACAGCCCAAGAGGGATTCTTCTCATCGACCATCAGTTCTATCCTTGGACAGAGACATGCCAAGAGTGGAATAATTGAACTGAAAAACCACTGCCATCAAATGATTCTGAGTCATGTCAGACTCTTATGTTACCCTAAACGCCCCCAACACCAAACCTACTGATGACAGTTGTTTCTGACTCATAGTGACCCTATCTAGGACTAAGTTGAACTGCAGCTGTTCCTTGGGAGAAAGATGAGGCTTTCTACCCCCGTAAAGATTTACAGCATCGGAAACCCTGTTCAGGGTTGCTATGGGTCAGAACCGACTCGACGGCACTTAACAACAACAACACAGGAGTAAGTTGAACTGCTCCCTGGGGTTTCTTAGGCTGTAAAGCTTCATGGAAGCAGACTACCACACCCTTCTCTCATTGACCAGGTGGAGGTTCAAATCACCAACCTTTCAGTTAGTAGCCCAATGCTTAACCCACCGCATCACCAGAGTTCATCTTATGCTACCCAGTATCATTTTGTTATTGGGCGCAGTTAATCTATTTTCATTATTATATGTGTTATATTCCACAGTGTCTTGTTATGTCAAAAAACCAGATCACAAAGCATGTAAGGAATGATCTCTGTGGTCACAGAAAAGAGTTGGGGAAAGATACATGTCTAGTAGGATGAAGAATGATTTATACTATCTTTACATTTCTCAATATTGCACGAATTTTAAAACACTACTATTCTCTTTTTAAAGAATTATTTAAATTTAAAAAATGACTAAATTTATATTAGAAAATAAAATATTTTAGCCAGGTGAAATTTTTACTAAATCTAAGTAAAAGGCTAACTAGGCTAACTAACAATTTAACAATATTTACAACATATAACAGTTACTCTAATTAATATATAAAAATTTCTTATAAATAAGTAATAAATTACACTGAATAGGGAAATAGGAAAAATTGTTCACAAAAGAAATAGCAATGGCCATTAAATACATGAAAATATTACAATATTATTAGTGTTAAAAGATAGGTATTAGATCAGTCAATCTAATTGGCTGATAGTATTACAAATCATTTTTGCTATTCTTTTTGCTACTTTGGACCACATGAAACTGCTGAGAATCTACTATTTCTGAGCCTCAGAAATAATAACTTCATATGTGTCCTGGTGTGGCACTGTAGGATAAGCACTGGACTTCTACTTGCAAGGTCGGAGATTCAAATCTACTAGCCATTCCTTGGCAAATCTACATAGACTGGCTATGAGTTGAGACCAACTCTATGGCACTTAACAACAACATGGTTCAAACTAACACTTTTTGAATTTTCCTGTTTGTAGTAATCTATCTTCCTTTCCAAATTATAAAACTGATTGTAAAGTATTTACACCAGCTGCTCCTCAGAAACCCTATACAGGGTCACTATGAGTGGGATCCGACTTGACGGCACTTAACAACAAGAAGTTATAAAAAACATGATTTTGATGATGCTCTGCTGTTGAATCTGTTTTGAAGTCCTTTCACATATGTGATAATACCGTGTTCCACCAAGACACATAGAAATCAAGTCTTTTATTTGGAGTCCATAGGGGCCAATGGGATACTTGTAAGAAGGGATGCTAACCGACTAACAAGTCAGATTGAGGTGGATACTATAGGACAAGGTCAGCACACTGAGAGTACCTCCATACCTGGCTCCTTTCATTTCTTCACTTCCTCTCTCTCCTTCCCTTCCCCTCTCTTTCTTCTTTAACTGGCTCTCTCACGGCCTCCTCTTTCTTTTTCTCCTGCTTATTTGGTTTCTTGCTCTAATTTTAGTTCTTTTTTGCCTTTAATTCTTTCAGTCTTTGCAGTTTATTGTTCTAGTAAAAGGCACATGTTTTTAGTCCAGGCATGAGGACTGGTTTTATTTAGTTCCAGGAGGTAAAAAGTTATCAGAACCGAAGTTCCTGCTGCAAATTCCACATTCCTCTGGGTGCTAGGAAACAATGTGAGATAGCATCAGAGGGCCAGGAATAAACCCACAGCTCTAGAGTGCTGCTTGATCTACCGGGAGACACACTTGGCCCTTGACCTCACTGTGCCCTCAGTAAGCAGGGCACAGTGATCTGTTTACTTCCTCTCACCCAGCTCCCTTGGGGTCTGCATATTTTAGTTAAATAGAATGGGATTCAAGGTGGCTTTGAAACAGTAAGGCAGCTAACTTGGGACCAAGTGGAAAATGAGGCAATGGCCTTGGGCTTACTAGAACTTGGATTAAATACTGGAGCTAACAAAGAGCAGCCCAGGAAATCAGTATTTCCTCTTCCATATTACATAGGCAATATTTGCATACTTTATATCGGTCCATTGATGTTGAATAAATTGTTGGAACCAGCTCAATTACTTAACAAAAGACATCTTTTTGAAACTATTTTGATTTCTATCTTTGCTAAGACTGGCGATTACACAATTCACTTCATTGGACTAGTCTTAAATCTAGCTTGAGAACGCCCGTGTTCCTTTTTGACAAATATTTATTACTTGGATCCACATGGGAAGGCAGGATTTTGGCACAGTAGAGTGTTGATGGTGAAGTGTGAAAGCTGAAAACTGTTTATTATTCCTTTTCCTGACGCTAGGTCGTAGGCTAGCTAAGGCCCTTTCAAAGTGCACACAGAGATTCTGGTTTCTGGGTTGATGTAACTGACACTAAATGTCCCTGAAATAGGCCGGCGAGGTGCAGACAGGAAGCATCGACGATTGGCTCCCTGCCATTTGCTCTAGGGGTCTCAGACGTCCCCTAGAGCAGTCATGTTATCTTCAATGTGTGGCCATCGGTCTGCTCCATCTCCATAGCACTTACGTCATTTCCGTTGGCAAGTGAGCGAGAAGCCTTGATTCTCGAAGCATGCCAATTGTAGATCGCCAGTGGTGATTCTCCAGCACAGACATATTCTAGAAAGAAAGAAAACAAAAGTTTTAAATGAGGGAGAAACCAGATACTGATCTTTCATGCTGAACACACTTCAGGGAGGCCAGGGATTGCCAGTTTATACCTGATGACATAGTGCTGGACCAAGAAAGAAATGCAGAATCATCACAAGGCCTATGCTGAAGGTTATAATGACAGTGGTGGGTAGCTTCAGAACCCTTGCTAACCCTCCACCGCAGGGCTGAATGAGGATTTAATGCCTTTGCTCCTCTTTCCAGTCATTTCACCAGACGAAACTAAATGTGGAAATGAAGCAAGTAAAAATTGGTAGTGATGAATAACGTGGACTATATTAAGAACAAGGGAATGTGTGGTTCTGTAGAATAAACACTGGACTGCAAACCACAAGGTTGGTGGTTCAAGCTCACCAGCTGCGTCATAGAAGAAAGATGAGGCTTTCTGTTTCTGAAAAGATTTATAGCCTTGGAAACCCTATACAAGATCCTATGAGTTGGACCCGACTGGATGGCATAAAACAACAGTATATTAACAGCAGAGGGCAGTGATAGTTCTGTGGCCAAAGAATTCTCAACTTCCATTTGTGAGAACCAGGTTCCATTTCTGGTCATGCTGTTATTATGACGCTGCACAGGTTTCTGTGGCAGTGTCAAAGGAAGATAGACAAGGAAGAAAAGCCTGGCAATTTTCTTCCCAAAATTAACCAGTGAAAACCCTAGATCAGGGGATGGTGCGGGACAGTGCAGCATTTCATTCTATTGTGCAGATAGGGTTGCCGTGGGTTGTGGGCCAACTTGGTAGTAATTTACAACAATAGCACTATTCTAACACAGAGGCAGAGACCACAACTTCTGGTCTGATCCACTACACCAACCATTATTTCTCAACACTGTTGAAGAAAACTTCCTGTGTCTGCATGTATCACCCGCACAGTTGGTGACATACTCAGATTCCTGGGTGCCAGTCCATACAGTTTCGATTCGGTGGATCTGTGGTAATCCATTCTTAGGCACATAGACTGATCCCTCCTGACCACGTGTCCAAAGTCTCAGCATTCTTGTTTCTAAGGAGCATTCTGGCTGCACTTTTTCTAAGACAGATTTGTTTGTTCTTCTGGCCATCCATGGTATGTTTAGTAGTCTTCACAAGCACAATGATTCTAAGGCACCAACTCCTCTTTGGTCTCCTCTAGTCATTGCCCATCTTTCACATATGTTGTGGCTGTTGTAAAGTACTGTGGAGTTGGTTCCAATTCGTAGGGGCCCTGTATAGGGTTTCTGAGGTGAACTTGAACCCGACGACCTTGCGATTCAAACTGACCTTGCAGTCCAGTGCATTAACCTACAGCGCCACACCAGCACTCCTCACATGCATATGAGTTGATTGAAAGTACCATGTTTTGAGTCAGCTCTTTGACCTTACTGTTATTCTAAATATGCTTGTTAATGGAATATTGAATCATTTAAATAATGAATCCTTTCTACAGTTTGTTGTGTTTTGTTCTAATTAGCAGATATTGCAACCTTACCACAAATTTCAGAAATATAGAATTAAAAACAAACAAACAAACAAAACCCTACCCATACCAGTTGCTCGGGAGGCAGTTCTGACTCATGGGAACCCCTTACATGTCAGAGTGGAACTGTTTATAGGTGTTCAGTGGTTGTGACGTTTTGGAAGCAGGTTGCCAGGTTTTCCTTCTGAGATATCTCTGAGTGGCTTCAAATCACCAACCTTTCAGTTGAGTGTTTAACCCCATTGAGCCCCAACTGCCAATGAGTTGACTCTGACTTACAGCAACGCTACTGACCAGAGCAGAAGTGCGCCATAGGGTTTCTGAGACTGTAAATCTTTATGGGAGCACACTGCCTAATGGAGCTCCCTCAAAGTGGCTGACAAATTCAATCTGCGGCAGTCCCATGCTTAGCCTACAGCACACCAAGGCTACCTTAACCCTTTTCTTCAAAACTCAAACCAAACACGTTGCCATGGAATCAGTTCTGGCTCACAGACACCGAGTATAGGATTTCCAAGGTTGTAAATCTTTACTGGCAGAAAACCCCAATCTTTTCCCCACAGAGCAGCTGGTAGGGTTGAACTGGGAGGGACTGGACTGTTGACCGTGAGGTTAGCAGTCCAGTTTTTACCCTACAGTGCCACCAGGGTTCTCTTAACCCTTTTGTTGTTGTTGTCAAATGTTGTTGAGCCAGTTCTGATGCATATGACCACACTGTATAGGGTTTCTGAGAGGCAGCGGTGGGTTTGAGCCACTGACCTTAAGGTTAGCAGTCCAGTGCTTATTGTACACTGCATTCCTACAGTGGGGTCTTCTTCTTTTTCTATAGCAACCCTGTATAAACTCACCAAGAAATAGCTGGTGAGTTTGAACTGCTGAACTTGTGGTTCAAACTGACCTCGTGGTCCAGTGCTTTATCTCACAATGCCACCCCTTTAGACTTTAGGAAATCTTTTCTTGTTTATTTTTTCATTCTCAATCTTGTTTCAGGAAGGGTTACAAGCTTATGAAAAATACTCATTGAAAGCAAGGGAAAGAAAGCAAGGAAACCATGAGGAGACTCTAAGGGGCAGGAGTGGAGTCCTGGTGTAGCGCTGCAGGTTAATGTGCTAGCTCACAAGGTCGGTTTGAACCTCAAGGTTGGCAGTTCAAGCTCACTAGCTGCTCCTTGGAAACCCTATGAATCGGAACGGACTCAATAACTCTTAACAACAAGGAGAAGGAGTGAGATGTAAAACCATCCTATCATTATCCCCTGGTGACTTTGTCAGCAAATGAGAAAAGAGAGTTCTTGTTCCAGGCCCCACAGGAAAACATAAGCGCCAGAAAACAGCAACTCTACTTGGATCTGTAACCAGACGCTGGTTTCTTCTCCAGGAGTTTGCATAATGAGTTCATAGGGCCGAATCTTCGATCCTTTGACCAGGCAGTTCCATTGCTATTCATTTCTCCCCATTGCTGAGGACTCTTTATTCTTTATTCATCACTTGATTGTGTTTGAGCTAGTGATGAGATTTCATTACTTTTATCAACTGGCCCATTATCTCCTTTTGGACATGAGCCACATGTAACAAAAGAATGTTTATTAGAAATAGTATGCTAGACTAATTTGTTTTGTTTGTAAAGATTTATAAAAGCAGAGACTGACAGGTTAGTGTGATGTAGCAGATGCTCAATCCTGCAATGACATTTAACTCAATCACTCTTGAGAGTTCACTAGCAAAACCAATTCAAATAAATGTGGACATGCGTTCCCTTCTGCGATTTCTTAAAAGGGCCAGAAAATCATAACAGGACCTAATGATAAGTGACGCTCCCTCCTTGTTGAGCAGAACAAAAGGATCTGGAGGGTCGCCTTGAGCATTGTTATTTATGCCAGTCTGACTTAACATCGTCATTAATGATTTTCCTAAGGACAAACGAAAGGATACTTGGGAAATCTGCTGGTGAAACCAGATTTTGAGATGAGCACTAGGGGATGGTAGAAATTGAGTAGGTGTGGATGCGGCATAGAGAAAAAGACAATAGAACATACAATTACACTTCAGGAAGTACTTTCTAAAGAGCTCTGGTAGTGTAGTGGTTGTGTATCCGGCTTGCCAACCTCACGATCAGCAGTTCGAAACTACCAGCTGTTTCGCGGAAGAAAGATGAGGCTTTCTGCTCCCGTAAAGATTTAGAGCCTCGGAAACTCTGTACAGGGTCGCTATGAGTTGGAACCGACTCCACAGCATATAACAACAACAACAACAACAAGTGCTTTCTACAAATTTCCTAAATAAGTAACCAAACAAATGATCTGAATTAATTTACTACTATGGAACATTTACTACTATGTTTCAGACACTGTGATGAATACTTGGGTGATATTAATAAACAAAATACATAAGGATCGAGGTTGGTAGAGTTGAGCAGAGGCAGAGAGTGAATACTAAACATAGAACTTTACTTCTGAAAATGGTATTCTGTTACCCCCTTATTCTGACTCCTAGAGACCATAAAGGACAGACAAGAATTACTCCATAGTGTGTTCGAGGCATAAAAACAGATTGCCTCATCTTTTTCCTGCAGAATGGCAGGGGGTTCGAACCACCGACCTTTTGGCTAGCAGTCCAACACGTAGTCCACTGCACCTCCAGGGCTCCTGTGTAAGTGGCCTGTCAGAAGACAGTGAGTGAATGCAGAAAAGGAGAAGCAGAGTTTCCTGGGTAGAGGCTGGCAGGGTAGTCAGGGGAGAGGTGAGATTTGGGGGTGGGAGGGTTGGCCAGTTAACCATGCATATGTTTTGGGGGAAGAGTGTTTCTAACAGTGTTTCTAACAGAGGAACTAGCCAGAGCACAGGACCCAAAGCAAGAACAAACAGCCAGAATGTCAATGCGCAGCCAGACAGGAGACAACATTAGTGGGTGGAGTTAGAAGCAATGAGAGGCCCGATTCTTCAAGGATGGTGACTTGACTCGGAATGAAATAAGAAGTCACTGCAGGGGACTGGAAGGAATGGGACTACATGGTTTCTATTTTTAAACAGCTCATGTTGGACTGCTATGATGAACATAGAATTCGATGGAGGTTAGAACAGGTGTAGAGGCACAGGGTGGCTTGGAGACTATAGCAGTCATCCAGGCAAGAGATGATGGTGGTTTGTACCACGGAGGTGGCAGAGTCATATGAGTAGTCAGAAATACACACATTTGTCTATGAATCTCTGAGACAAATTGTCATCTGGTTCCCCAAATATAACTAACTGACTGTGCCCTCTTCTAGGCACCAATCCCCCCCACCTGCCCAAGTGTCCACTCTAGTGCCTGCCACGTCTTCTAATCACTCTCTTCACTGGCCTTCTTCCCAAGGATCATGTGTGCCCCATGTGGTCTTCATAGGGTTTTGCTCATTTACTACTGAAAAGAATTTTGAAAAACTATGCTTTCATACACTTTTCAGAATTAATATCTAATTTAAGTGGTTACAAAAGATATAGTGTCATGTGTA